GAAAGTCGGACGCTTAACCGACTAAGCCACCCAGGCGCCCCAATTCGCCTGGAATTTTAAACTACGTTTTGGATAATCTGAATTGCTCAAAAATATTTTGTATTTGTTGAATATACTACCCAACTCTTTGCAGGGTTTCCAAATGCACTGCCTTATTTCAGGACGTCAGCATTTTGCAATACCATTCCCGCCACCAAGAATGTCCTAGAGCTCAACCCCCCCACCACACACCCCACACCCAGAGACACCTTCTCCATCAACATGTCCTTCAAAATTCAACCTTTCTGGGAACTGTCTCAGCTAATCCCACCTTCTATGCGCCTGTGAGGTGCCATTTTGTCTTCCTACAGCACCAAAACACATTAATTCAAATCCAAATTTTTGAATAATTTGAGTATAGCATTAAACATCATCAAAATTTATTATTCATAAAAAACTATTTACCATGCTCTGCAAATGCAAAATGCACATCTTCCTTAACACTAGGGACTTCTACATCTTTGTCATCTCTCTCCATCCCAGCTCTGGCCCCTTCCTCAAACAAAGCTCTGAACCTTAACAGTACTTGGCACTCAGTAAACACCTGTTAATAGAATGAAGTTAACTGTATACAGAATGAATGAATGAATCTATTTTTAAAAGGCCAAGATTTCAGCTAAAGCATCATCCTATTTATTTACTTATTTGAAGATTATTTAAGTAATCTTCACACCCAACGTGGGGCTCAAACTCACGACCCCCAGATCAAGAGTCACATGCTGTACAGACTGAGCCAGCCAAGCGTCCCCAAGATAATCCCATTTATTAACCGACAATAACTACAATAAGGCCAATACTCTATAAAAGCTTTTAATGGTTTGACTTGTACCAATTTTTACTCATCTTGGTCAAAATAACTTCTAGTTACCCTTGGAATACCTGCTTTATATGTCCTTTCTTTGTTTCCTAAGCACTGATGCATATAATTCTGCCAAGGTCCAAACCATATTATCTAGAAAGTTGTTTATCGCTCCTACCATGCCCCAAACTCCTCAAAGGTATGCATGTGTCTTACGCATTTCTATCCCTGAGCAAGCACAATACTTGACCCAAAGTGGCTGCTCATTACTGTCTGCTTAAGTAAAGGAAATTAAAATTAACAGAGAATTAATTAAACAGTCCTTATAGTTGTTCTCATAGAATATTTTCCTGAAGTCATGATTTTTTTTTTTAGAACCACAATAAAAACTGATTTAAGCCCAAAATATCTTATACTGGGTTTAGTAGAGTGAAGCAACGGATTTTTAAAAAATGAGAAATTCTCCTTGAGATTTGGGAAAAGACTATCGCGAATGAATTTTACAAGCAGCCACCTCTACCTATTTTGAAGGACACCAGTGCTACACAGGAACACCCAAACCATTGAAATCTGCGGTTTTTACTGTCTCTAGCCACATTCTGAAAAAATGCAAGAAACCTAAACTTGAGCTGCATTTAAGGTTCTGTGTAACATTTCAAATTCAAGTATGTCAAAGCCAGTTTGTCTTCTGTCTTAATTCCATTCTTTCCACCCTAAGTGGTACTCCATTCTCAAAATGTCAAGATACATTTGTACCCTTGTCCCCAGTTGGGCCAAGTTCTGTGAAGGTCATTCCTTTGGTCACCACTACAGTACTGGCCCTTATAGAGGTGACCCTTGAGCAACACACATTTGAACTGTGTAGATCAACTTACGTAAGGAATTTTTCCAATAAATACAGTATGTAAATGTTTTTCCCTTATGATTTTAATAACATTTTCCTCCTTCTAGCTTACTGCAAGAATCCAGTATATAATGCATATGACATACAAAACATATGTTAATTGACTGTTTATGTTATTGATAAAGTGTCCAGTCAACAGGAGGCTATTACTGGTTAAGTTTTGGGAAGTCAAAAGTTATACACAGATTTTTCGACTGCATGGGGGGCTGGCACCTCTAAGCCTTGTGTTGTTCAAGGGTCAACTGTATTTCTACTTGGACTAGCCCAACAGTCTGAGGAGAGTCTCTTAAGATTTTCCTGTCTAATCCCCTGATCACAATGCTACCAAATTAATCTCCCTTTAAGTTAGTGGCTCAAAATGTTGGATGATTCTGTCATCATTTTTACCCCCCAGACATTTGGTATTATGTGGAGACATTATCAGTTGCCAACACAGGACACTACTACTGGATCTAGTAGGTAGAGGCCAGAAACCCTAAACATCCCATAATGCACAGGACAGCCTCTCCCACAAAAAAGAATGATCTGGCTATACATAGATCACTCTGTTACCTTAGTTAGGCCAGTCAGTTTCCTCATCTGTGAAAAGCGGTTAAACCTCAAAAGGCTGTCAGGAGAATTAAGTGAGGCCACACTGCACAGAGATCACTAAGCACAGTACACACACAACTGGGTACTTTCACATGGTTAAAAAAAAAATTGTTAAAGCTGTTACTTCTGTCTTTTTTCTCAAACAGAATTATTGTCCCAGAAAAGGGCTAGAGTGGACACTCACAATAGGAATAGAAACTCACAAGAAGAGGATTCAAAATAAATATCGATGAGGTGTTTTTCTGGGCCTGGATAAATTCTATGTCAATAAAAAAAGCAAGCAAGGTGACCGGACCATGGTAAGAGCAAGGGCTATTTTAGCCTGGGAAAATGTTAATGTCATTATCAAAAAACGCAGTAAACAAATTTAGAAAATTGTAGCTGATGAGTCTGTCATTGAAGAGAAAAAGTCCTGGGTACCTGGGTGACTCATATGATTGAGTGTCTGATGCTTGGTTTTGGCTCAGGGCATGATCTTGTGGTTTCTGGGTACAAGGCCCATGTTAGGCTCTGCGCTGATAGTGTGAAGCCCACTTGGGAGTCTCTCTGCCCCTCCCCTGCTCTCTCAAAAATAAACAAAAGAGAGAGAGAGAAGAAAGAAAGAAAGGGTCCAAATGAAGATGTTATAGACTCTAAACAGACTGCAAGGACCCAGAATCAGAATCCTGACACAGTAACCTCTTTTTTTTTTGACAGAATTACTAAAATCAGGAGACACCATCGATAGGATGTATCAGGAATGCTCTGTGAAATGGCTTTTCATTGCAGTCGTATGGAAACATGGCTTGGGTAGACTTGTAATCACTGTAATAACCCCACCAAAGGTGGTGGGTACCTCACCCATTGCCACCACATGAGTATCTGTTCCCATTTCCTCTCCAAACCCACTTCCTTCTGTTGCAGCTGAGGAATTTCCTTTACTATCTGAAGCCACCACCCCCCTCCCCCCCACAAAGTATCCTGGACATTGACCGGACTCTTGTGGTTACCTCTTCTCTATCCCGGATACAGCACTTCCATCCAATATCAAACATGCCTTACCATTGTTCACCCTACCCTCCTTTGCCCTATAGTTTCTGCCCATTTTTCAGCACCTCCTGAGCCCTCCCAAGTCAAGGTTTTTGGAAGAAGTGTTCTAAGTCTCCATTTTCTCACCTCTCAACTGATTTCCATTCCCATCAATGCTAAAATAGGCCAAATCCAAAGTCACTTTTCTGTTCTCATTCTAGTTAAGTTCTAACTTGCCTTTAAGATCTCAAAACGAAGGGGTGCCTGGGTGGCTCAGTGGGTTAAGCCTCTGACTCTGGCTCAGGTCATAACCACAACTGCTCGCGAGTTCGAGCCCTGTGTTGGGTTCTGTGCGAACAGCTCAGAGCCTGGAGCCTGCTTCAGACTCTCTTCCCGTCTCCTGCTTGCTCTCGGTCTCTCTCAAATACAAAATAAAACATTAAAAAAAAAAAAAAACAAATCAAAGCAGAATTAAAAACAAAAGTACAGGAAAAGGGATGTCTGACTTGCAGCAGCAACTTTTAAAAAAAGACTTTAGTCACAGTAAGTTCAGACGGAGTCAAGATCTTAGAAGTTATAACAGAAACATGTAGACTCTGCTGTGTACTGCTCCTATGGGACTCGGAACTCAGTTCTGAGGAGGTCATGCAAAATAAGACTTTTAATGTCATCACTCCTTGAAGATGGAACCTGTTGAGGGGAATAGGTGTGTGAGAACCGTTGCCTGGCAAAGAACAGGATTTTTTACTGAATGAACAGAACTTGATAATTTTTTTTAAAATTTTTTTTAATGTTTTTTATTTATTTCTAGGAGAGAGAGAGAGAGAGAGAGACGGCGTGAGCAGGGGAGGGTCAGAGAGAGAGGGAGTCACAGACTGAAACAGGCTCCAGGCTCTGAGCCCGACGCGGGGCTCGAACCCACGAACCGCGAGATCATGACCTAAGCGAAAGTCGGACGCTTAACCGACTAAGCCACCCAGGCGCCCCAGAACTTGATAATTTCATCTAAACTCAAGGCTCAAGGCATCTAACTGGGATGAGCGCCAGTATTAACCTTAGAGTGTGAGAAAGCATACCCGAACTTAAATCCACATTTTCTGACTCAAAAGTTTAGAATATTCAGACACGTTTCAGAAGAGTGGAGAAAACAGAGTGCCACCAAAGGACCACTTTACGTTGGTGAAGGGACTGCCAGGTCTTGGAGTGCGCTAGGAAAGAGCTTCAATTCTCACCCCACCTGACTGGGAAACGATGAATGGAAAGGGACCCATGATTAGCAATCATGAGACCTTCCACCACAATCCTCTTTAGGTGGGTTTTAACTTCTTTCTCTCCCCCCACTGCCCTCCTCCAGACGGCCCCTCCCTTCAATTCAAAAGCCCAAGGCGAAGATCTGATTTTGTCTGGAGGCCGGTCTAACTCCCTACCGTGTCCCGGGGGCGAAGGGCGGGGGGGGGGGGGTTACATACCGCAAACCTAGAGCTTACCCGCCGTAGTTCCCAACGGCCAGAGGCCATCAGAGTCGCACCCCCGGCCCCTTTTCGGCTTGCCCCTGGGGGCGGGGGGTGGTTCAAAGCCGAGGACTAGAGGGGCCGCCGGCCATGTCTAAACTGCAGAGTTCCCCCGGCCACTTCCCCGCGACCCCCGACCTCGGCTCACCCGCGTGGGACATGGGCACAGTGAGGTTCCCGTGGCTCTCCTCGTTGTAGAGGACCACGGCTGAGGCGTTCCTCCGTGCAGCCACCAGCACCTTGTCCTTGAAGGTGCAGCCACCGCGCGCGACCAGGGCGACCCAGGGCGCGGCTCCTCGGCCGCCGGGCGCGGGCACGAGGAAGCGCGTATCTGGCGCGCAGCCCTCGGGGTCGCGATCCGCCGCGCGCGGGACGCCCACCAGGCCCTGCGCGCCCTCCTTGGGCGAGCTATCGCCGAAGCGGCCGCTCTCCGAGACGCTCCACACGGTGCGGTTCGTGTGCGGGTCGACGTACTCGGTGCTCACCACGGCGGAGTACCACTCGAACGCCCGACCCCGGGCCCCGGGCGCGCACACAGCCAGCGCCAGCAGCGCCAGCGTGCCCCGGGCCCCGACGCCGGCCTCGGACCGCCGCCGCCAAGCCATGGCCCCACCGCCGGGCAGTCGGGGAGGAGACCGGGGCGGGAGCTGCGCGACTCCCGGGGGCCAGAGGACGCGCGCGTGCGAGCCGCCGGAGAGCGAGGAGACTATCGCGCTCTCCGCGGAACCGTGAAGGGCCAGGCCAGGCGGCAGGCGGGGCCGTGGCGCACGCGCACCTGGCGGAGCGGGGCGTGGGGCGGGGCTTTTCCTGGCCCCTCCTCACCGGGGACCCCGGAGCTGCGCGCGCCGGCGGGAGTCCGACCGTCTCAGAGCCTGAACGTGACCGGTCCCGGCAGCCGGGCGGTCCAACCACGCAGGGAGCGGTGCTGGCGACCAGCTCGCCGGCTTGCGTCACGGGGGGGGGGGGGGGGGGGGGGGGGGGGGGGGGGGGGGGGGGGGGGGGGGGGGGGGGGGGGGGGGGGGGGGGGGCGCTAGTGGTCAGGCGCCGAGCTTGTGTAACAGAACCTGGAGGGCCCCCGGAGCCAGGGCAAGTGGCCGTCGGAGAAACGGAAGCTCCTCGCCGTGTGGGCCCGGGAGGCGTCGGAGCGCGGTTGTGTAGAGTCGCCCAGCGCCTGTTTATCAGGAATTGACAGTGGAAGGCACTTGGCCGGGGCCTTGCTTGTCTAGAACCAAGCTGCATATATTTTCCAGATACGTTTGGTGGCCGATTTTGTCGCTTCTCTGTACTCCCAACAACCTTTTCTGTTATGGTATTTTATGTACAATCTGTAGTTTTGAAATAAATGCATCGAACTATCTATCTAGATGGGCACTTAAATTGTACAGCAATAAATAAAAAAAAAGTATTGGGAAAGGAATACTGGGTGATAGTCCCTTCAGAACTGCTGTGGATACAAAGCCTTACTGCTTCAGGAAAAGTTTAGAGCATTAATGACTGACTGACTCATCTTCCTCCTTCTACAAGGATCTATAATTGAAGGAAGTAGGCTGTTGCCACTCACAGCTGGGGTTTTGTTGGGCCTTAAACCTTCTCACTTTCTCTTTTTTTTCAGCCTCTCTTGGACTGTATTTTTTTAAATGTATTTATTTAAATTCAAGTTAGTTAACATACAATGTAGTATTGGTTTTAGGAGCAGAATCCAATGCTCATCCCAACAAGTACCCTCCTTAATGCCCATCATCCATTTAGCCCATCCTTCTCCCCTCCCCTGCAGCAACTCTCATACTGGTTGCTGTATTTAAGAATCTCTTATGGTCTGCCTCCCTCTCTGCTTTTTTCTTGTTTATTTTTTATTCCCTTCCCCTGGGTTCATCTGCTCTGTTTCTTAAAGTCCACAAAGACGGGCGCCTGGGTGGATCAGGTCATGATCTCTAGGTCAGTGGGTTCGAGCCCCGTATCCGGCTCTATGCTGACAGCTCAGAGCCTGGAGCCTGTTTTGGATTCTGTGTCTCCCTCTCTCTCTCTGTCTGTCCCTCCCCCGCTCATGCTCTGTCTCTCTCTGTCTCAAAAATAAACGTTAAAAAAAAAAAATAAAAAGGATAATTTTTTTAAAAGTCCACAAAGAGTTAAATCATATAATACTTGTTTTTTCTGACTTATTTTACTTCTTGGATTGATTTTTAAAACTGCTCTAAAAATGCAGCCTAGCCCATAACCCATAGCTTTCCTTGAAGTTAGATCTCTCCCCTTCCCATCAGGAAACGAGTTTTAAAGGCTTAAAGGAAGGCTTAAGGCCTTCCCCTTGTCCCAGGCCTAGAAAAACAAGCAGGCTAGAGAACGGATCCTCAGACATGTACCTTCTGCTCCAGCAAAACAAATGCTTAAAGTTCCCAGAATATGCCTTTGTAGTTTCACATTATGTCTCACAAATTATTTTCCTTCTTTCTGAAAGCCTCCTGCTTCTGGCTTTTATCCTGGCAAACACCAGCTTAGTCTTCAAACTATCTCAAAAGCTGTTTCTTCTGTGAAACCTTCTTTGATTCCTAAAGACAAACTTGGGTATCCTTCTTAGATTCCATGTTGTGTATGCTTATATGTTAATGTTATAACAGCAATACTGCTTTCCAAATACAGGTTTTTAGCCTTAACAATATCATGAAGACAAGGACTGTGTCTTTGCTGTTTGCATGAACCTGCCTCAGCGAGCACAGTGTCATGCGTGTAAGCCATGTTTGTTAAATGAGCAAAATAGCTCCCTTTTACTGTTTCAGAGTTAAGGGACTCATGACTGGGTACAGGTTTGTTGCTCAAAGAAGTTCAACAGGCTAATAGGAACAGGCCTTGCAGCTCTTCAGCCCTGAGGCTCAGCCTAGCTTCTTGGTTTTCAGTTTTCATTACCAGCTTCAGGCCTGAGCTGGTTCCATAGCTGCCATCATTGGCTTAACCCATTATTGTGCCCTCCGCTAGCTGCCAAGTGCCATTCAGTCTCTTCAATTCCCGCTTCTCTATTGTCCCAAGAAGAAAAGCTGACAGGCCTCATCCCACCACACTCTTTATGGGGGAGAGTGGTGCAGGTTTATTTTTTCTTCTAATTGTTTTGTTTTATAACTTAAATTCAACAATGATCATCTCACGGCTAATTTCATGTCAAATATACTCATGGCCACTGCCACTTGCCCCTAGTGGATTATTTTGAAGGACATTCTGGACGTCATATTTTATTTGTAAACATTTTCATATGTACCTTTAGAAGTAAAAACATGATCACAGTATTATCACAATATTTAAATAAATTGTCTAGAGTTCTTTAATATCAAATATCCAGTAAGTGCACAAATTTACTGATGGTCTCCTGCATGATATCCTACACTGAGTTTGTTTGGAACAAGTTTCAAACATTCACACATTGCATTTGATGGAAATGTGTCTCGAGTTTCCTTTTTTCATAAGTTTTTTTTCTCTTCTTTTTTTTAAGTTTATTTATTTTGAGAGAGAGAGAACAGGCTCCATGCTGTCACCACAGAGCCCAATGCAGGGCTCAAACCCAAGAATCGTGAAATCATGACCTGAGCTGAAATCAAGAGTTGGACGCTGAACCCACTGAACCACGCACATGCCCCATCTTCTTTTTCTCTTTGAAGGATTGGATGATTTGTCCTGTATAATTTCCCACTTTCTGTATTTGGCTGATGACATTGGCTGATGACAATGTAGCATGTTCTTCTCTCCCTGGTACTTCCCGTGATCTGGTGGTTAGATCAAGAGGTCTCATCTGATACAAGTTGGACTTCTGGGCAAAAAAAAAAAAAAAAAGGTGGTGCTGTGTACTTCTGCATGGTGGCATCATGTTGGAGTGTCTTTCTTTTTTTGCAATGTTAGTTGCCATTAATTATCATTACCTAAATCTATTGTTTCATTAAGTGTTTGCCAAAATGGTGATAGTCTATCATTCCTTCTTCATTTTACTACCTAGAATACTTCTATAAAGAGAAACTTTCCTTCACCAAATAGGGTTACCCTCAGGGACAATTTATATAGAAGAACAAGATTAAAATTATTTTCTTTATCAGTTTTCAGAATAATAAATCCCTAACCTACCTTAATGAGAATTCTTTTTAGAAGTCCAAAGCACTATCCATTGCACTATAGAGCCAGGCAAGAGAATTCTTTTTAGTCATTAATAATGCATAAATTTAGCATACTTGATGAGTTTCAATCCTTTGCTGTTATTATTCTTATTGAAGCCCATATTTATTGGAGCCCTCTTACTGAAGTCTTTCATGGCTAGCCAGTGGGAACCTCTTTAGATCGGCTTCTAAGTCCACTCGATGCCTTTGATGTCTTCTTTGCTTTCTATAGTCAGCAGAGCATCAGTCATTTCCCTGAGGACACTTGTTTCCTTTTAGTAGGAAATGCTCTTTAGAGACCACAATCGGTCCTTGGGCTTTCTTTCCCCCCATTAATCATATAATAATACATATTCATTGTTTAAAGAAAAATCAGAAGATACAGGGACTCCTGGGTGGCTCAGTTGGGTGCAGAGCCTGCTTGGGATTCTCTCTCTCCCTCTCTCTCTGCCCATCCCCTGCTCACATGCAAATGTGTGCATGCTCTCTTTCTCTCTCTCAAAATAAATAAAACTCAGAATATGTAGATAAATTGAAAGAAGATTGAAAATATCATAATGATATCAGAGAAATGCCAAATTTTGGTAAACCACATGCCAGACTTTTTTCTATGTCACTATAATTTTTGTCCTATAAATTTTCTTAAGTGTTTTTAATTTTTTTTTTTTTTTTAATTTTTGAGAGAGTGCAAGCAGAGGAAGAGAAGAGCAAGAGAGGAGGACAGAGGATCCAAAGCAGGCTGTCTCTGACACCAGTGAGCCTGATGTGGGGGTAGAACTCACCAACTGTGAGATCATGACCTGAGTGAAAGTCAGACACTCAACTGACTGAGCCACCCAGGTGCCCCTTTCCTATAAATTTTCTTAAAATGACAAAATAGTGCATTTTTGTGTTTATTTGCCTTTTAAGAACTCAGCAAAGTCTAATGAACATTTTTCTACAACATAAATATACTATGAACATTTTTCTACATCATGAATACACTTCTCCAAGATCATTTATTTTATTATTTTTTTCAGCATTTATTTATTTCTGAGAGACAGAGAGAAAACAGAGCATGAGCAGAGAAGGGACAGAGAGAGAAAGAGGCACAGAATCTGAAGCAGGCTCCAGGCTCTGAGCTGTGAGCACAGAGCTTGATGTGAGGTTCAAACCCATGAACCCTGAGATTGTGTCCTGAGCCAAAGTCAGATGCTTAGCTGACTGAGCCACCCAGGCACCCCCCTCCAAAATCGTTCATTCATTCATTCGTTCATTTTTAATGTTTTATTTATTTTTGAGAGAGAGATAGAGACAGTGTGAGCAGGGGAGGGTCAGAGAGAGACAGAGTCACAGAATCTGAAGACAGTCTCTAGGCTCTGAGCTAGCTGTCAGCACAGAGCCCGACACGGGGCTCAAACCCACAAACCATGAGATCATGACCTGAGCCGAAGCCGACACTTAACCGACTGAGCCACCCAGGTGCCCCTCCAAGATCATTTAAATGACCACATGGTATTTCATCATTTGAAAGCAGCACTAGGTTTTGTTTTGTTTTAAGTGGGCTTCACACTCAGCATGGAGCCCCATGGAGGGCTTGGACTCATGGCCCTAAGATCAAGATGTGAGCTGAGATCCAGAGTCAGACA